AAAAATTCTACCGCTGCGAATATAAATATTACAGCTGGTTTCAATAGACATTTCGTTATATCCTGTATGATGAATAGAATAAATACTTCCTTTTACATTTGAACCGTTTGATTGATAATTAGAAATGTAAAAGAAACGTTAAATGCTGTAATTCGAGCTTGACATAGGAGCATTCAGGTCCCCTTGAATTTTATTCAATTTTATTACACGAAGGCTGTTTAACAATAATATATATTTATTTAAAATCAAATAACACTTGAACTATTTTTCATATGTAAGCGGCAGGATGTATGCAGCGAGAATGCCTTTTTTTCGGGGCTCCCGATTTCAATTGCAATTCTAAATTATTCTCAATAGAACGAGCCTCCGTGTTCTATCAACGGGTAAAATATCTTTTCTTCCCTGTAGGTACAAACGGCCGAGAAAAACAGTTTACCGTACGTTTCTATCCAAAACGTATGTCCTGCGGCACGTTTTCACGCCGCTCGGCTGAAATTCACAGGGAAGTTTCTTAGGCTACAGATTTACTTTCCAAGTTGCAGTGAACGCGCGCGAGTAACCTTCTGAAATTTACTAATCTCGGGTAACAAAGTGCGCGCTGCTAGCGTAAATGAGAAACGTGGTCCGTTGCCGCGTCGGAAATTCGTAATTATGATTTATCCACTAAAGAAAGCTGAATTTCGCCGGCTTCTTCGAAAGAAACTTGGACAGAAAGGGGAGGGTTCACCCATTTCTTTGTACGCAATTGCCATTTTTCTCTTCGTAGCAACAACTCCATTGTATTATCGTTGCTTCTTCGAGGCTCTCTCCTCTTCAACTAGAATCGACCATTTAATTTTAATTGGTTTCTTGCATGTTCGGACCCTCCCTCTTTCTTTCTTATCGCAAGTGATTTTAATATTACCCTTTGCTCGTGTATTATTCGAGAATTAATTAGCGTTTACGGAACTACGCCTAACAGTAATTATGGTTAATCGAATGTTTGCCGATTCGACTGTCAGTTTTAATCGTGAAATTTTACCAGTGAAATTAAAGTCGAGTAGTCGACAGTAACGAAATAAATGGCGCGTTGATCGAAGACAAAACGTTGCAAATACTACAAATTCGAGGTTAGGATGAAAAATGATATTGGAGTAATTTTAGAAAATTGTAATTTCGTGTGTTTATAATGTGAACTGAGGAAAATGATGGAATGACTGGGTCGTTCTCTTAAATGCGAGTATAAAGGCCTGTTACGTTTAGAATTAAACAGTCCCGCATACATGCATCGCGTTTGATCATTATAAGTTAGAATACAAATACAAGCAACTCTCGACCGTTTAATGTTCTTAGAGGATGCTTTGACACTTTGTTACTACGGGTCGCAATCGTGTCCCCTTGTAACTCTGGCCGTCTCGTTGAAAAATTTGCTACGTTTTCAACACGGTGCCCTGGTAACTGGTTGCAATATTTATTTCGTCGTTCATCGAGGTTTGCCACTTTGCCGCGTAAGTGCGATATTGTATAAGAAAGACGCACATGAAAATAAATCGTATTCACACGGATTGGAGCGATCATATTCTATTAACCCTTTGGCTTTAACGCCAAGGAATGGAAACGGAATTGCGACTTTCTACTTTTGCTTGTCGTAGATCGCATTTTTTCTCTTGATTTCTTTCCTTTTTTTCTTTCACTTTGCGATTTTAGTCGTAGATCGCATTTTTGGCGATTTCTCTCTTTTTTTTTCCTTTTTCACTTTGCGATTTTAGTCGTGTCAGTCAAGAGTACTATGCAATATTATCAAATTTTACAAACGAGTTATGAAAGTAATGAAACGAATGTGCTGCTTCATTTTTTCATCAATTTTTCATTGTGTACCTCTTTGTGTTGTAGATTTTTTCTTTTTTTTTTTTTAATGAAAAATCACTTCTTCGTTTATTTAATGCAACGTGTGTTTTTTTAATGTTTCTCTTAATGATTATATTTTTCCTGCAGAGTTTTATTCGTTGAAGTAATTTCACTGAAATATTTGAGACGTAGAATCGTGAAAAATTAGTATTTAGTCCTATATTTGAGAGAAAAGGGAAAAAGTTGAGAAAAGACTTTAGTAGAAAGGGTTCGAAGATGATTTTTAGCTTTGCAATTATTAAGACGTAGGAAATGATTTTGGTATGCGGATTTAAGACACAAAATGTTATATCGAAGTAGATTTGGTAATTATTTTACAATCTTATTATTTAAACTGTTATAAATTATTATTAACCTAGGTATTTAAACATTTGATGAAAATTATCATAGTATGGTAAAGTTGAAATTTACAGGATTACCGACACAATCACTCGAACTGTAAACGGTGTCGATATATGTAAATATCCTCGGTAGATGAAATTCCATTATTGGTAGTAAATTTATGTGCCTCTTTAGATTTCTTGATATTAAGTTCAATACCACTCGAAAAGAGAGAGAGCTGTTCGATATTTTTTTACTCACTTACAGAGATAAAAATCTTTCGTGTATAACATAATCGTTCATGCAAAGTGGCTATAAAATTCTTATCTACCTCTACTTTCTACTACCACTAATTCGAATTAAATTGATATTTATCGATTTATGAATATTTGTTAATTCATCAAATTGATATTTATCGATTGGTGAATTTTTGTCAACTTATCAAATTTATTAATTTGTCGATATACTGTTTGAATTCTTGTTTGAACTCTTTAGCAGAGGAGTAGAAAAATATTTTGTCAGGTTGAAAAATATATACATCGAGATTAAATCCATCGCTGCTTAAGCCACTGGTTTTGATATACGGACTCTTATCGTCGCGTTGAATACACGTATATACATGTGTGCACGCTTGATGCACATTCATCAACACGTGATAAGGCGTGCGAATTGTTTAACACTGTGTATATACCATTTTATGATACAATTGCCATCATTTCTTCCTTACTTCCTGTATTGTTCCTCTCGTTTTTACGATTTCCCTTAAACGAATCCAGCGGAAATAATTCCTACTTAAAAGTGAAGTTATCAACATTGTAACGACAGAATCAAACTTTTATTTTACTTATTCCATGCGAGACTTGTTATGGTTCCTTGAAATAGTATCTTAGAAATTTTTTAAAAATTCGTTCGAACTGAGTATTTGTGGCGGGGAATACAAAATTAAACGTGAGGTGTTTGCAACGTGAAATTTTATTTTATTTGTTAAATATGCGTACAATAGATTCGCTTGTTCCATTTTGCAGAATTTCTTTTTTAAACTTCGTCAAATTGAATTTGATAATTATTATACGTATAATAATATCGGGACAAGAGATTGAAATGTTGTTTCTTGATCCTTCATGAAGGTTTCTGAAAGCGGCCAAGTATTATCTTCGTTGTTTAAACATTTATCGCTAAGTTGATCGTTCCTTCGAAGTTGTTAATGGAAAACACATTGGGTTGAATTTGTTCCAAGGAAGTATTTGAAATTGATCGAAAATGTTGGTAATTTAGACGAGATCAAATTATCGTTAATAAACGCGAACAATTTCAACAACGTTTCGTTGTTGTACGAGATCTGATAGTTTATAAAATAGTTATGATTAAATATCACGTTTTGCACGTGCCGACACGTGCTTTTGACGTGGCTTCTCGTAGCGAGGCGATAATTCAGCAACAACATGGGTACTTCCGTAATTCGTTACGGAATTGTGAAGATGTACTGGAATTTCTGCAGAAAGTAATATTTCCTAATCATCGTTTTCCTATGGAAATTCATTTATCATTGTCTCGAACGAAAATACTTTTTCCTCTTGTAATCTTACGTTGCACGCGTTACGTCTTTACCAATCAGTCCCATGATAATTAATTTTAAACAGCCTTGTTTTCTTAAAACAGACTTATCAAATTTTGTATTACAAGTACAGTCGTGAAGATATTGCAAAGGAAGTTTAAGATCGTTTCAAACACTTTTCAAACATTCCAATTTTAACCCTTTCACGACCACGTTATTTAAAAAAGAAATTTTCATTTATTTGTTGATCGTCAAGTCGCAGATAGATCCTAAATTGAAGTGAACTTTTAGTATAGTATTTAAAAAATTGAATCTGAAGATCGTGAATTTTACCGGTCGATTAAATATCTGAATTACTACAACTTAATCAACAACACCATGTCATTTTCACAAGGATAGACATTTTGGTTCCATCGATACTTGAAATAATCCGCCACGTTAACCTCGCGGTTGCGATCTTCTATTAAAAACCTATCTTACTTTCGTAAGAAGAAATCTGCAAGATCCCCGGCAGTGACCCAACACGTCGCTTCCTCCCTCTTTCTAATCCATTATCAAATCATTTCTTAATCGTCGCTTTCATTCGGCGCGCTCGAGTGCCGGACGGACCAGGCACCGCAGATTAACGTCAATCCCTTCGCAGAAAATCTCTCAGCGACGAAGAAGCTTTGACCGAAACTTTTCTTCCTTTTTTTTTTTTCTCTCTCTTTTTGCTTCCATAGGTCACGGACAACTGTCAGTCGAGTCGATTTGAAAACCGGACGACAATGACGATCGCGGAGAACACGGAGTCGAAGAGGAGTTCTTCAACGGGTGTACCCAGCGTCATGGACGAGATAGCCGATCAACGTCCGCTTAACGAGGACACGCAGGATGCTCAGAGGCCGGAAGAGACGTCGAATTTAAGCACAGAGGGGAATCCTTTTTTTTCTCGATGAAGATCGACATGTCGATCATGAAGTCGAAGAGAACGGACAAGGACGAGGAGGATCGAGGATCGAGGAAAGACCCGGAAGCCGACGGTGGCAACGTGGTCACACCGCCTGATGGAGGACTGCGAGCATGGATGGTCATGATAGGCAGTTTCGTGATCAACGGAGTGCTGTTCAGCGTCATCAACACGTACTCGTTGATCTATCTCGAGTTACAGAAGAGATTGCTCGAGTCTGGAGAAACAGCGGCGTCTTCGAAAGCCGGTAAGTTGTGTGATTTTTTTTTTTGAGAGAGACTGCGGAACCACGAGGTTGTAGGCGTTACGCGAGGCGTTATCGTTGTTTTAACAGTAGGAGGATTGATTGGGTGAAAATGATCTATCGGTAAGTCTTGAAGCGTGAATTTTTGTGTAACAAGAAGGGGATTGAAAAATTGGATTCGTATCGATGCAGATAGAAGTATGAGAAAATAAAGTCAAGAATCAAGGATATCGCACAGAATTTTTTCAGAAGAGACTTTCCAGAGTATCTTCTTGAATACCGAACTTGAAAAATGAAATTTCAAGTGTATATAATAAAAATTCTTTTTTTTATCAGAAAACAAAGTTGGAAACCTTCTAAATCTACTGTAAATACACTTGTACCATTCTATCGTAGAAACAAGGATATCGAAATTGAAGTAAACTTGGACACAAAATTAACAGAACCTTTTCAGAAGACTTTCCAAAGTTAAATACCGAACTTAAAAAATAGAATTTTAAGTACATACCTATAATACAAAATTTTGTTTAAAATTGAAAAGTAAAATTTATTTAATAATGTATTACTACAATCAATTTGGGAATTGATGATTGTGAATGTACTCTCGATAAATACCGAGCTTGAAATTCATAATAAATCCAATACAAATCCACAGTCTTCGAAGGCACTGATATTGGAATTCCTAAATAGATATTCAGCGTTCACAAAAATAAAGGGTGATTCAAGCAACAGGGCCAGGTTGTAGCTCTGTTTCAAGTGAAGTACCGTAGAGGTACTTTTTTTTTTTTTTCTAAAAGGAACCACAATATTTTGTTATATAAATTCACTCCTAGGAATAGTTCTGTGAATAAAAGATGCAAGGTTAGGTCATCGAAAACTCGGTACTTTCCGAGATACTTCACTTTTCTCGATTCCTAGAAATTTCGAAATGATCGAAATTTTAGGTTTCGCGCGCGGTCAGACACTCGTTTTGAAACACTATGCGACGCTACGACCGGGGAAAGATAACCGCGTGCGCAGCGGCTATTTCTCCACGTATATCGGCGCGTATTTAGAAAAAGGAAGAACCAACGATTGCGTAACTAAGGACATTCACATGTTGAACTGACTCGCCTTTGCCTTACGAGATACGGTGTACATTGTCGTTCATAAGTTTGGGAAATAGATAATATAGCGGTAGCGTATTAGTTTGACGATTCTGAGTGGAATTTCGATGAAATAGGAAGTAAAGAACTGTGAAATTCTTTAAAAATTCTTTTAAATTTTCCAGGTTTCTCTAACACGATCGTGTACCTTTTTTGTATGCATAATTGTAATACAGTAATTTATGTTCAATTTGGAGTATCTTAAATTTTGCTACAAAATTAGGTTATTTAAAATAATATAAAAAAGAAACAGGATAGTTTGATAGGATTGTAATT